TGGGGGCTAAAATTATTCAAGTAGGTGGGTTGGAGAAGGTGTTCAAACATGCATTTAGTGTTAGATCTGGGGAGAAGCTGTTGAAGGCTTCTCAGTGTTATTTATCAACCACAGCAGGTCCTATAGCAGGCCTCCTCTTCATCTCCACAGACAAGATTGCCTTCTGCAGTGAGAGATCAATCAAACTCTCATCATCAAATGGAGAACTGATTAGACTCCACTACAAGGTAATTCCTTTTAATTCACAAATTAAGGACAATTTACTTGTCTCTCTCTCTCCCTCTCTCTCTGTCCGTACATGTGTGTTAGAACTTACCTCCTCCTAGGCTTCTATTCTATATGTTTCTGTCTAACATGCCTAGCTATTTATTTGTATCTTTTGCAGGTGGTGATCCCAGTGAATAAGATAAAGAGAGTAAACCAAAGTGAGAATGTGAAGAAGCCATCACAAAAGTACATAGAAATAGTTACTGTGGATAATTTTGACTTCTGGTTTATGGGTATCTTGAACTACCAGAAAACTTTGAAATATCTCGAGGAGGCAATTTCTCAAGCTTAGAGAAAATGCAATTGATGTGTGCTGAAAGGCAGTCTCATTTGTTTCCCTCTGCTTCATCAGATATTGTAATTATCGTGCAAAGCTAGATAAAAGAGAGCAAGCTCAATACCATTGCGGACAATGTATAAAAAAATTTCTTTTCTTTTAATGAGAAAATACTCTTTTCTTTGAAAATCACGTGGCTATTCGTATTTGATATTATTTCATACAGACAAAATCAGTTTCTTCTCTTTAGTATTGGACAGTTCCTTAAACACCTCTTTAAATTTTGTTATTGTTTTGTTAAATTCTTCTTTATATAAAATTCCATGCAAATGCTGTGCTGAGCTAGGATGCGAATTCATAATTCATTTGGAAATGTGCCTACTCACTTGCACCTCCAACTGAATATGAAAAAATTCACAAATTAAATAAACACAATGAAACTTGTATTCGTTCAATTTCTTGCAGTATTGTATAATTCATAGATCAGAGAGAGAGAGAGAGAGAGAGAGAGAGAGAGAGATGCTTTAACTTGTCACCAACACAACACCAGCGCCTTCCTCCCCTATAGGACTCAGACATTGCAATAACTTATTCATAATATGATTTTTAAGTTCATCCAAATGGGGTCAAATATTGACCATAAACGTTACTTGCAAGCTAAGTTTCAAAAATGGATCCATTTTTCTGATATATTATAATTACATCAATTTTCCATCATCCATTTTTGAATGTTCTTTAAGAAAATCCCTAAAATCAACTTTAGAATGCAAGTTGGTTGGTTGGTTGGTTGGAGCCAAACTTTTTGTTGTGCAACTGCTTGCTTTTCCCCCCTTCCATTTCTCTTATTCACAACTAAAAGAGAGATGACATGAGAAAGCTAAATTGCCAGCCCAAAAAGTTACAAAAGAATATGTTATGACGTTCCAGATATCGCTTAGCTTAGGAAGGAAGATCCAGTTAAAGGGTTTTTCGAGTAATCAGGTTTTCTTTAATTAACAATCAGGGTTTTTCAAGAACTAAATCCACACTTTCCCCTGCTTTCTTAATAACCTCTGCCAACAGGGTCTAGCCTAATGTAAAAAGTGTCTTGACTTGCAGATTGGTCTTAGGTTCGAATCCCCACAGAATTATAGTTGTGTGTGTGTGTGTGACAAATCCCCCTTTCCTGTAGTTTAAATTATTGTTTGTACTAAAATAAATAAATAAATCTCTGCCGCCATTGACTGTATACGTTATTATATAATTCCCATTACTTACAATCTGTCTCTGTTCTGTGCATCTTGATAAGAAAGAAGGAATTCTCCACACAGTAGGATTATAGTGATATTCAAATCCAGATAAGATAACAAATTACAACATTAATTATTTCACCCCATCAGATCCCAAAGAGGAAAAATAAAAATTAAAAAAACAACATTGTTCCGCCCAAAGTACAAAGCAATGGAAGATATTGCGCAAGTGTGTCCACACCCCCCAAACTGACTTGACGAGGAATCCATTCTTTCAGAACTGAGAGTAACTTAATAGAATGAATGCCGATTTTAGGAACATGTGAAATTGTTGGAACCCCCAAACATGAGACTCCCCACTTCTTGTTTTGTACATGATAAATTTACAAATATGTATTCTGAGGGATAAATACACAAGAAGCCAACATTTATCAGAAAGGCTCACAAATCTTGATCGGCTGAATGCCAGCTCTCAAAGTAACAAATTTCAAGCTTTTGAGAGCAGCGCTTGCTTTGAACTCGCCGTCACAAATCTAAATCTTCATCGGCTGAATGCCAACTCTCAAAATAACACGTCAGGCTCGCATAAGCTCCCCGTGAAGTTCACTTTACAAGATTCAGAAAACTGCAATCCCGCTTCATCACAACCTGCCGCTGTAATGTGTGGGCATGACCTCACATCCAGGTATTCTAGAGAGTCACATTTGTCCAAAAGCATGCCTATGCCTGTCACAGTTATTTTTGGGCAGTTGCTGACCTTCAAAACTTTCAAACTCAACTCATTTTCTTCACCATTTAAACCCTGAAAGGCAGCATCTGTCACCTCCTCACAGCACCCAATGTCAAGAGCCTCGAGGTTTGTGCACTGAGCAAGGATGCAGCTCAAAGAAGAGTCAGTGATATTTAAACACCAATCCATCCTCAAGTTCTTGAGATTACTCTTACAAGAAATAGCCAGCAATTTTATTGACGCATCAGATATGTCCCGGCAGCCACCAACTATTAGAGTTTCAAGATTTTTGCAGAATCTGGCCAAGGATAATATAGACTCGTCCCCGATTTTGTAGCAATCCAACAACTTCAGTGTCTTCAGAGAAGATGAGCATGCCATGGAGACACTGGAAACTCCAATATCTCCAATATTGCTGCATTTGTTGACATCTAAAAATTTGATCTGTTGACATCCATTTACAAGATCAGTAAGTCCAGAGTCAGTTATGTTGGTGCAACCTTGAAGCCCCAACTCTTCTAAATAGTGACAATTCTTTGAAAGGGCTCGCAATAATCCATCAGTAACAAATCTGCAGCCAGCAAGATAAAGACTACGAAGGTCAGAGCAGCCCTCAGCAACAGCTGATAATCCTTTGTCCGTTAACTTCCTGCAATATGATACATCCAGGGACTGTAGTGATGAAAGACCAGATCCAACGAAAAGGACACCGGAATCTGAAATTCCTGTAAAAGAAAGAAATAGACAATACATTAATCAGGTCCAAATGTTAAATAAAAAGACAACAAGCGTAAGAGTTTCAAAAATAAACAACCATTTCTTTCTTTCTTGAACGTCAAATGAAATAAAAAGTCATCAAGTAAATAAGTTCAAAAGAATTGTTATAATCCAATGCCAAAGGACATCTCAAATTCTGGCATTATAGCTACAGATTCAAGAATACTGCACAAGTGACAGGAACCTCATCTCCCCTCAAAGCCAAATCATGAACAGAAAAATTAATTTTCAGCAAAAAAATACATAAAATTGAAGAAACTCATAAAAAGCCCCAATTCAATTTGTAACAAATAGTCAACTAGCACAAACCCATCAAACAATCTCAAAGAACCATCATAATTTTGCAAAATCTCTCACAATGATAAAAAAACAGATATCCAATATGTAAAAAAAAATATTTTCATCAGAAACAGTGAAGTAAGTTTTTCCCAATCAATAAAAACAAACAGAAACCCATGAAACAAACCGAAAATTGCTCCATACATGAAGCACGTCCCATGTCCAAACACCACACACTCCAAAAAGAATACCTTTGCAATTCTGCAAATTGAGGACTCTCAAGCACTTAAATCCATGAGCAATAACACGGAGATCAGAGTCAATGACACCAGGATAGAAGGACCTCGAAATGGACTGGGAGAGGTCCAGTTCATGAAGCCTGGAGAACCTGTCAGCCATTCTGCGAAGCATATGAGGCCCCGCACGTGCCGAAAGCCTCTTCCTCTCCGTGCTCTGCAAATGAAGCCACCTTTTGCAGACCAACCCGAAGACCTCCTTGTCCCTCTGGTTCTCCAGCTTTGCTAGCACCGACCGGAGCTCATCATCCGTCAATGCCTCGTTTATGCAAACCGTTATTGAGGAGGAATCGGCTGAAGAAGTCATTGATGGAGGAAATTGGTGGTTGCAGAACAGAAACCGTAACACTAACCCCAATCGTGAATAGAGATTTGGGGCTCAATTAGGATCAGGGTTTATGAAGGAATTGGGGGGCAGGGAGTGTTGATTGGTTGAAAACGTCTTTTTTGTGTCTATTCAGTTGGGTTGGGTGGTTGGTGGAAATATTGAAAAGCGGGTGGGGGGTGTCAATGTCATTGTCTTCCTTGTCTATCTTTTGGTGGTTGTGTTGATACTTTGCATTTTTGTAAATAAATAATAATAATGATACTTCGAATTCAAAATATGAAAGTGGAGGAAATATTCCATTACCAACCTTAAGACATGATTACAAATGATTACAAGAGTCATCAAACAGAGCTTACATTTTAAATACCAACAACAACAATAACATTGCTTTGTTTGTTGGGAGTAATATTAATACATATACACCCCCCAAAGATTCAATCATTCTCTCACATAGAATTAAGTCATGTATTACATTAGTTCTATAACTTTAGGAATAGCTCCTAGAGAGACAGGTAGATTTCTTGGTCATTTTCCATGCAAATCAAACTCAGTGTTATAGAATAGGATAATACCGAGTCATTTGTCATATTGCTTGCTATTAAAGGGCTTTCCACAATTAGACCCATTCTAACATGACTTATTATACAAAAACTTTTATCGAGCAGAATGAGTTGAGTTTTTTCACATAAGTCGTCATCATATATTCATATATTAATATATTAGGTTAGTGGTTCAAGTTGCCAAGCAGTAGTTACCAATTTTCAATAAGATAATACGAAATTAAATTATAAAGCTGCCTCGCCTCCAATAATTTGAATTGTATTCCTAATCATCACCTTGAGTCAGTCGATGCCAAATGGCATTAACAACTGTATTTTGTATTCAATGAGAACAAACTGTTTGTATATTTGTAACATTTGAACACAAATTGAGGGCTAAGCCTTCCTGTGGCATTCAACAACCTACCTTCCCTACAACAATGAACTAATTCATATGCTGCACGAATTTACAGCATACGAAGAAGGAAAAGAATTAGAGTCACGGTTTGTGACTCAAGAGTTTAAGATAAATGAGACTCTTTGCAACAAGTAAGCACACAGTCCTCCAGAAACTGGGTTAGCTCAGAAGTGTACAGTTTCGGGTCGTTTCTGAAATGATCAACATGAGGCGTGGACACAAAGTTGCAAGCCCTAACCTCATGTCCAGCCCTCCGTTGCTGCTTTATGAATGATTCCACCGACCCTGCAGGAATCACCCTGTCTGCAGAGCTGTATATATATAATTGCGGACAGCTTGGTTGTCGGGCTGACAATAACCCCACGACATCAGAAAGCCTCCTGTAATGCAATAATATTCATATTACTTTCCATGAAAAGAGGGAAAAGTTCCTTCTTGGAAATACTAAGCATTATAAGTACTCTGACATGCTACATTGGTTTTTCTAAGATAATAAAGAACATCAAGGGAAATGTGAAGCATAGAAAGCTGCACGAAGATTCAAAACCACCTCAAAGAACTTATCCAAAACTAAAAGGACAAAGAAGAAGAAGATAGACTACCTGTTCACTGTAGGAAGACTCAAAATCACTTCAAAGAACTTCTCCAAAACTACTAGCAAAGCTGCTTCAGTTACTGCAGGTTTGGGTGCCACTACTCCCTTGGTACCAACCAAAGCATCCATCCCTGACTCATTTGAGTCTACGGCTCCTTTTGCTGCTACACTATGCTTTTTCAGAAAGGCTGCTGAGAAACCAGAAGCCCAAACCTACACAAGGTCAAGAATTAGATAGCATACTCATCTAAGAACCAACAAAAGAAAAAACCTGATCCCAGAGGAACTCAAAAAGTAGATCACTTGCATAAAATATTCAAACAGCTATATGAAAAATGAACACCCCCCCAAAAAAAAGGAAGCATGCCACAGAGATTATAATTTCCTGCTCCCTCCAACTCATCCAGTCCCCACAGAGAGAAAAAGAGAGGGAGAGAGAGATTAGAGAGAGTGCAAGGCAGTGACAACAAATGAAGGACAGTAACTGGAATGAAAAAGAAAAAAGATCAACAGGCATTGGAGTTTTAAGACTAAGTGCTAAGCACAAGGAATACTCAGCAGACAAACTTTCTTTTACTATTCTTGCAACATTTTGGCTTGGCCGTAGTGATAATGTCCACTGCTACAATTATATTAAGCCAATTACAAAATTGTTATTGGTCAAATCAATATTCTTTAAATGAAAGCAAAAGGCTATCTCTGGTGCCAGAGTATGCGTAGATAATTTTAATATTTTAACTAACATCAGTAGACAATTTCTGCTTTACTGCAACTATCCTTTACCTGTGGGTCAGGTGCTGCAACAGGTGCAGAATCCACAACGCAACCCCGAATCCTGCCCATTAGAGAAGGATCATGCATCTGGAACTGCTCCAACATTACCCCATACCTGTAACATGAAACCAAACCAACAAACAGTGTAAGATGGTTACATAAGAGAATGGGGAAATTGCAAATGGAGTGTATGTATAAGAGAGATAGAGAGAGAGAGAGGACAAAGTGGAACTCACGTTAACCATCCAGTATTGCTAAAAGTATGAAAAACCAGATTCTTTCCATGCTCCTCCTCTAACCAATCAGCCAAATGTCTCACAAGCGAGTTGATGTGCTCTTCAACTTTCCCACCGGGTTGGTATTTGAGAATCTCAGACATCGGCAAAGTAAAGGTAATTACATGAAAACCCCTTGAGGTATACCACTCCGCATACTTCTTGAGATGTTTTTGCTTTGCTCCCAACCATCCTAGTAAAACCACCACAGTCCTGAACTTTGCCGAGGAGCAACCAGAAGTACCGGAAACATCTATGGCATTTGGCTCAGGTAAATGCCATCTGTACGTGACTTCAGATGGGGAAGTAGATATATCATGCTTATATGTAGTTGGGTTTGTTGTTTTAACCAAGTCTGCAGACTGATACAAATTAAGAACAGGTGAAGATGCAACGGAAGAGTATAGCAACTTGGGAACAAATTTGCCGCCCAAATTGGGAGTTGGGAAGTTAATATTGGGCACAGGTACTCGAATTCTAGAGATAAAGGACAAGTTTGCAAGCTTAGAAACCGAAATGTGAGAAACCCAGGATAACTTTGAATCTTGAAAGGTGTTATGCAATGAAGAATGTGATAAATCCGAGGTAGAACAAGCGTCATTGGATCTGTGAGATGGCAATTTATCAGAGATGTCAGTAGAAACTGAAGCTACAGCAAGAGCAGCGGCCGCAACCAAAGGTCGTTGAACGATCCCAGACAAGGAAGCCATATTGGAAACGCAGCCCAAAATCTCTCATGCCAATATCAAGCAACCCCCATACAACAACATATAATAAGCCGAGCAACCAAATTTGGTGAAGACCCAGAAAGCCTGATATTTCAAACACGAGAATAACCTGCAGAAATTAATGGGAAAATGACGATAACCCACCAAACACCTACAAATATAATGCAACTCGAATATAAATATATATATATGTGTGTGTGTGTGTGTGTGTATATATATATATATATATGTATATGTATATATGTGGGACTAGGCTTGTATCCAATTGGAATAAGGAATTCAGACCGAAAAATTAAAAATATTAAACGGAATTAAGAAAAGGGCGAGTCGGCAACAAACAAGAAATAGAATTTACATGCGCAAGGCATGGAAAACACGCAAGAATTGATACTGAAAAGTGGTATATTTGTTCATTGTGAAAACATATTCTGACCTGGTTGCTTTGACTTGTCTTCAACAAAATCGGGGGGGCAATGTCCGTTGACAGCCCGATTATCACCACGCGCAGCGGATACCGACCCAGAAGCTTCCTTCGATTCCTTCTTTCTTTTTTCCCTCCGCACTGGAGAATGACAAAGCGTCCTCGGATCTTTAGTGGGGTCAAACCAGAGGCTGGTGTTTTAAAGCATAAATAAAATGTTAAGGAATTCCAAATGAATAAATTTTAGAAAGAAAAAAAAAACTTGGCCTTTTCAGAATACAAGGTCCAGTAGAACAGTGCCACGTGTGGTGCGGCTAGCTTTTCCATTTTAAATTTTCAAAGAAATAAAAATAATAAATTAAAAAAAGAAGAAAAGCTAAAGATAGTGACTGGGTTTCACGGGACATTGAAAGGCAAATAGCTGCTTACGTTAGCGTTCCGGCAATCTAGGAGCGAGAGCTCATTGGCAAAAGAGAAACGGGGCTTGCTGAAATGACCGTTTTATCCCCATGACAACGATGAGATGAAGGTAACGTTTGTGCGAGTAAACTGATGTAAATTTCAGAGACAAGGAAAGAATACGACATTTCCAGAAAGACAAAATCCGGAAACAGAAATGAAGTTGAGAGGAGAGGCTGATGGCGGAGGAAGAAGATGGGCTCACCTCAATCAAGACTGGTGTGCCTGTTTACTTCAATAAAGTTTAAGAAAATAGAAAGAAGAAAAGAAGGACAAAGGAACACACAGCACGATATTGAATATTTCAAAAAGGATATTCCCCAAGAAGATTCCTTGAGGAAGCAACTGTCAAGATAATGTTGGTGGTGGAGGGAAGGCCCATAATCAGCAGCACAGAGGACATGTAGTAAATGAAAACTCCACGTTTTCCAGTTTCAGCCAAGCAAGCATCATGGGTCATGAATGACGCAGCACAACAGAACCAAACAACTTTTAAAGAAAAGAAAAGAAAAGAAAATGTGGAAAAAAATGAATTAAACATACTCAAGATTGAGAATCACCAAATTCAATACGTAAGAGGCTCAGGTCCTGTGTACCAACTACATTACATGATGCACCTACCTCGTCCATTTCTATATGGACATATTCCGTGTCAATAACTACGCTACATGATACTAGCTCATCATCTTCACCTATAAAAACATAACACTTCTCATATAGACCCTCCTTTGGACCTAGATTTAACAAACAAGACTTTGGAACTGACAATTTGTTTTTGCCGCAACGAAATCCTTCCTGCTCCTTTGCCATCAATATCAGACGATGTCGGCGACCCAAAAGCTGTGACACATACTTCATATCTCCTACAGCAAGGGCACGTCGAACACGAGTAGAAGAAACCTGTCCTCTGTCTTTCACATCACTCGAGTTTATATTTATAGAGTAATCGTTCTTGTCCATAACAGAATTTATTATATAAGCCCCAATACCATACTCTTCACACAACCTCACCAGCTCTGTGGCATCACCAGCAGCTTTATATCCAAATCGGTAGTTTTCACCTGCCACAATTACCCATTGCAAATCCATTTCAATGTATATCAAGGCTATGCTTCGCTCATACCAAGAAACATAGAATAGTCTGCAATGGGTTTCTTCAAATTAATTTACCTGCCACAACTCCACGCACTCCAAGCTCTTTCAATAACTTCTCAACAAATTGCCGTGGTGTTAGATGTCGAACGCTAGAAAATTCAATCTGAAACTCTGTGGGTGCCATGTTACCACAGTATGGGGCCCAAGAGGAAAGAACCCGCTTTCGATCGCATCTGGCAACTATGGGAGCCCTGTTCAATTTATTAATAATAATTTATTAAGACACTTTAACTAAGCTAAAATGAATTTCTATTTGAAACTAGAACAACATAAACGAGGAAATGGAATTCAAATGTGCAAATCTGGTCAGAGCCTTTAGATTTAGAGCAGCACATAAGTACTACTTAAGAGGTTCAATGGTAGTTTTATACTTCATTAAAGCAAGATACAATTTGTTGTCAAAAAAGAAACATGCAAGATATAATTTGTATAAAGCATTCAGAATCCCAACTCAGCTACGAAAACTGAAGAAAAGGGGTATAAATGACAAAGGCTGAGGTGTACAGCAACAATACCTTGGTTCCCAACCCAGTACTTCTGCCATTCCGACAAATGACAAAAGGAAAGGAGGTCCAACCTTTGATGCTTGAATTGCAAGCTCTCGATGACCAATGTGAAGGGCATCAAATTTTCCCAGCGCAACTATTCCTCCTAGGAACAATAATAAAAGTGCATTAAGTTGAGTGTCTTAAGATGATTACACACAACGCATCAAAGAAGTCAATATACAAAGAATAAATGGAAAGCCTTATATATGAGGATACAGCAGATACACATTGTATAGGGTCAAAATCTGGCCCAAATGAAAATATGGAAAGATATAGTCCATGAGAGTTGCATCCTTCTGGAGGAGATAATGTTTTTTTTCAGTAGAAAACTTTTTGGAAATAAAGGCGGAGTGCACTGATGAAACTTGTTAAATGACTGAAAATATAATTGGTGATTTCATAATGGTGCAGATTCAAAAGAACCCAACAGAAAGGAACTTGGAAGTTCTCTTAATCCATAACTATACCCAAAAGTGTTCTATGTCTAAAACAAGGATAAGTTTTGCAGCTATGTTGACATAAGAAATCTTTCTACTTTTGTGATTCTGTATCTATTTTGTGTCCCTGATTTTGATCAGCAGTTGGACTTGACTTAGAAGGTTAGTTTTCCTCGTCAACATAGGTATCAGTAAATTTATAAAATCACAAGCTATGCTGAAAGACGTGTCCCAGTGTAGGTTGAATAGCAACAAGCAATATACGCTAATGCATTCTTGAAGAAACAGCTAAAAGGAATTCCACCACATAATATGCTAACACATTCTTATGGATATTTGAGTGTTATATTTTACAAGATTAAAATAAGCAACAAGCTTATTTATATAATGTGATAGAAAAAGATGGTGAAAAGAGAAATATGGAAAGTACAGGTGGAATGAAACCTGCCACTGAGGTCAATCCTTCGGAGAAATGCTCACGTTCATCTTCTCGTTGGCTTTGCAAAAGAAAAGGAATCAGAGTTTGGACCACATACAGCATGCATACATAAATATACATGCATGTGTGTAGCTAAAGTAGTCAACATTAAAACCATCCAAAGAAGAATTGTGTAAATTGATTCAGGTTGATTGCTGCATTGTTTTGCTAAACCAAAGTGAATGATACTCTTATAAGATTCCGAAGGTCCTGCCGGAGTTTAGGATGTGATCAAGACAAGATAACTTCTTGGACGGCACTACAACTTTTAAGAAATATCAAGAGAAATAAAGTTTGTAACAGAGAAGCTAGCAAATTGATTTGCACCCATACAAAATGAGAATCGGAAAACAAACAGAAAAAAAAAAAAAAGTTAAGGAAAAAATAATAAGAAATGAAATTCAATCAAAACTTACTAAAGGGCATATGAATTGCAAAGTTCAATGAATTTATATATCAAGTAAAAAAGAAATTTATTTATTAAAAAAAAAAAGATTGGAAAGGAATGGAGAAGTATACCTAAAACAATTGGAGAGTGTGGGAATGTCGGGAGGAGACTTGGAAGAAACGAAAGAGGAAAAGGGCATTCTGTGAGCAGACAAGGGTTTGAGAGGGCAAGGGCAGCAGCGTAGCTGGGCGACTCTGTTGTTGTAAAACCCTAACCGCCCTAATCCAAAGACAAAGACAAATCCGAAGCCGAAGCCAAAGGCAGAGCCAGAGCCAGAGCCAAGGTGCTGGTGGTGGAGGCGGACGTCGCAGTCTCGCAGTCGTAGATGATTGGAAAGACGAGAGCAGCCACCACCACCACTCAACATTATTTGCCAACAACGCTCGTCGCTCGCCAACAACAACTCTCTCAACAGTGTCCAGACAACAAAACCAAACCAAACCAAAGCGTCTAACTTGTTAGTTAACGACCGTCAAGGAAGTCGTTCACCGGTTAACCCGTCATCCGCATTTTGCCATTTTTTTCTTTTTTCTTTATTAAATTAAACTGGTAGGTAAATTGGTAATTAAACATCTGTTATTTCTCCCCAAAAAACAAAAAACAAAAACATCTGTTAAACTTGTGAAAAGACACTAGTTTAGTGATTTGAAGAAAATGCTCCCCAAGAAATGTTTTATGTTCGAGTCCTAATATTCGTCTTGAGTGTGAGGTTTTTGTATTTTATGTAATAATACCTTTAAAAAAAAGTTCAAATATGTCAACAGTTGGCTGCCATAGAGCTACATGTATAATTTCCTCAGTCACAGGCTACTAGGCCCTGTTTGGTTCTTGGAAAATGAGACTTGGGAATGAGAAACCAATTTCTTTCCCATGTTTGGTAAGTCTAGGTATGGGAAATCGTTGTCTAGCTCACGAGAAAGTGAAGTCATCCTCCAAACTTGGGTTTTGTTTTCCCTCCTCATAGGAAAGTTTGGGAAAATGAGCTAATATTAAATACATATTTTTTATGATCATTTTATCCCTATTAACAATTTAGAATTATAATATATCATTATACATTCTTTTTTTATTTGATTTAATATGGGTATAATTGAAAATTTATACAAACTTTGTTTTCCATTCCTACTCAAAACAAACATGGGAAATGAAATAAAGTGATATTTTCCGGTTACTTTCCCAGCATTACCAAACATGGGAAATAAATCTTCCATTCTCATTCCTTAGGGAATGACATGGGAAATGATTTCCTCTCAAATTCATTCCATGAACCAAATGGGGCCCTAGCGTCAATGTTTCCTACCCTGTCTGTTGTGCCATATTATGGGAGAGGCCAAGCAAGAAAGAAACTAATGTATGTCAAGGGAAGGGGAAACGCAATTGGCAAGTGATAAATTTGGAGGTTTACTGTGAGCCTGTAAAAGACAATTCGGACGGCTCTGTTTCTTTGACATTCAAGCTCAGCTGGCTTTCTAAAAAGATAATAAAATGTTCGCATATGCTGTGAAAAGTCCCTTCTAGGCTAGGCTAGGCTTGCACTGCTAATTGAAATTTGCATATGGTAAAGAATTCATTGCACTATGAATGGAATTATGAAAAATATACATACTGGAATAACTTGCTCTACAAATTAAGCACCAAACCGCTGGGCAAGCAAGTTGCAACAACAAAACTCGTAGTCACAATTTCTATATGCAACCATTCCTCATCTATAAAAAATAAAAGGGGGATTAGATATAGCATAAACTCTTCTTCCTTTCTCTCTCATCACTTTCTTCCTCATGTTGCA